TAATGATGTGTGTTTTTTATTTATGTTTATTTTTTTTTGTGTCTGTTTACACAATAAGTAGTCGAAATAATGCTTCGATTTTCAACTTCAGTATCTTGTTCGATGGGAAAGTGAATCTAGTTGGTCACCAACTATAATATAGACCATTGAACCCGAGGAACTGACGACCAAAATAATTACCACTGAAATATGTTAGGAGTCAGCATGACATAATTTGAGATACCTAACCATAAACTTAATTAATACTTATATCGTACTTTGATTAAGTGTGTCTGTGTGCATTGGTGGCTCCAGTGTCATGTTTAGGGGGAGGGAGTCATAATTTTCTAGCAATTTCGATGATTTTTTTTTGTAATTTTGTTTTTACCAGTATACAATTGTTTGGAAATACAGCTTGGAGGGGGCCCTTCCACTGGAGCTGCCCCTGTCTGTGTGTATACTAAACCATGTAGGTACTTTTAAAAAACCCATAAAAATACACCCACCACAGTGCCTGTTGCAGCGCAACAATACATGTAAATTAGAAATAGCTGGACACACACACACACGCACAGTCACTTATAATTGTTATCTTTGTATTGTTTTATTTTTGTATTAATTACCGTGTCTTGTGAATTATGTAATGTATAGAATATAGATTATAAGTTGATCGTCGCTGCCGCCATACCGTCTGCGCGAATTATTATTATTTTAACACGGCCGCCCAGGCAACCAGTCCGTTCCGTAGTATCAACGTGAATGCTACCCACTAAAACGTGCGCTAATCGCCGTTGATTTCTATAATTTATTATAATACTTTTTTGTGAGGCACTAATCGCCATAATTTTTATATTAATATAAGTTTTGTTTTTTATTTTATATTATATTGTTTTTTGTCGGCGCAAATCGCTGTGTATATTGTTTCGGTCGGCGCGAATCGCCAAATTTATTATACGTTATTACGTGCGTGAATCGCCGTTTTTAATTATACTGCTCAAGGCGCTAATCGCCATCACTTATTCTATTATATATTTTTAATCTGTCATTAGTTTTCTGTGTGAGTGTGTGAATTTTTCCTATTATATAGCTAGGGTCAGCTGGCCAGACTGTGCTCCACCAAATTGTGAGTTTTTTATTGTTATTTATTATATATACATATTTATTAGTAGGCCAAAATTGTCACATATTTTATTACTCTGTTGGGCCAGAAGGGCTACATATTATTTGTTAGATTATTTTTACCTTGCGGTTGCTGTGAGTTATATTTTATTTTGTGTATTATTTTGAATTATTTATATATTATACAGCAACCTATGTTTACCTAAATCCGTGTTACCATCTTTTTTATTAGTTACTATTATTTTTAAGCACACACACTACCTAGATACACATTTAGACACAAATACACATATTACAAAACAAGAATCACGTAGTTCTACAGTAATTGCCCTGCGACCCCGACCACTGCTGTTTGAACTACTACACCACCACACACCAAGCTATTTTCGTATAATTTCTCCCTTCTAAGTTCTAGGTGTTAGTGGTATTGTTGATAGGCGTTGGAGTTCGGGCGCGCGTATTATTTTATATGCTCCCGGCCCGTTCAGTGCCATAGCTAAAATACCTATTCGATTGTTTTAAATCAAATAACATTATAAAATATTATATCATACCATAATTTACATTACATCATAATTCATAAGAGTATGAGGTTCTGGAAAAATTCGAGTTCAAATGGAGTATAACTATGTTGTCTACTATAATATTGTCATATTCAGGACGCAGTCTGATAATAATATTGTAATTATTAAAATGTATAACAGCGTCCATGTTATAAAATATTGCGTAGGTAAATACATAAGACAGAGGAGACGCATTTTCTGAAAACTAGAGGCCCTCTAGTTAAACCAGTTGGATACAATGTTAATTTATTTATTTGTTTTGAATAAGACCAACTGTTTTCATACAAATATAAAGACCACCTGTTAATTGAACAAATACGATGTTATTAAACTTCAATATGAAAAAGTAAAATAGTTTATTCAGTTGTGCAATACCGATTAGTTCTTATGCTTTGATATATTTCTACAACCTATATTTTTTACCTGACTGTAAAAGAACTTAATTTGTTTATGTACGGTGTAAGAAGTAACAGGTGTACTCTGTTTAAAATAGTGTTTTCTAATCTAAATATGATTATTAACACGTTTACATTTTCCAAAAGACTTATAATTTTCTTAGTGTATTATCCCATGATAATTTTAACAGTAACATACAAGGTTGAGACAGATCAAAGTATGTCGTTTATATTATGACACTATTCATGTACAATTATTATTTTTAAATATAAAATAATCATCTAATATTTTAAATTATTATGTGAAATATAGGTTTATTTTATCCCAACAGAAACGATCTGCCAAACTTCGTGTAAAAAAAAACTCCAAGTATAAAATAAATGGCTCTACAAATTATGTAATAAAATATGTACAGCTTAGTCGAAATACTATGGATATTATTTACGTTAAAGTAGTCTGCTAAAGAATTGAACTTAGTTTTGAGACCTTAAAAGACTTGATTGGTAATACACCAACTATTTCAATATGATAGCAGACGAGGTATATTATCAATAATTTACAACATTATTAGAAAATTAGAAAAATAAAAACATGTTAGAAATAGATTATTAAATTATTGTAATGTATATAACAAATGCCACTTACCAATAACATGTAATACTTTAACATGTAATACATGTAATATTTGTTGATTAGTAAACATAGGGTGAAGAATGAAAATAGATGATTATAGCTAAAAATTCGTTTCATTATAGCTCCCTTGATTCAGAATAATAATATAATTATTATTATTAGGCATTATTACCTATAAATGCATTTTTAGATTTTGAGTGGAGCGATGTTCTGATTTTACAATGATGTGTGTGTTTTTTTTTTAATTTTTAATTTTTTTGTGTCTGTCATCACTTCTTAGTACAGTAAAAGTGCTTGGATTTTCTTCAATAGTATCTTTTCTGATAGGAAAGTGAACCTAGTGGGTTCTCAAAACTTTTTAGAGTAGTTTTCAAAAGCACCGTGAAAAACAAAATAAAAATTAAGGAAAAACGGGGATTTTTACGCAAAATCGAATTTTTACTAAATCGATTTTGGTTTTTGGTTTAACTCGAAAACAAATGACCGTAGATACATTACATTTTTACTGAATGTTTATATTAGCATTTTTTATACACAATGCCTTCTTAAAAATATTTTGACTTATTTTGAGCTGTTTAGGGACATTATCAGTTTCCAATTTTTTAGTTTTTTACCCTATAAATATCAATAGTATTTTATTTGTTGGGTATAAAAACTTGAAAATTTAATAGAAGGCTCCTAATATATTGTTTCAAGACAGATGAAAAATATTAAAAATCCATACTCAGATTTTTTTTATAAGCTTTTAAAGTTCAAATTTTGACAAAATACTTAAAATTCATGAAAATGTGCTAATTATATTGAGTTAAGAATTAATAAAAATGTTTCTTTTTAAATCTAAGACTAATTTAATATAATATTTCTCATAAGTTTCTCTAACTTTATCAAAATAAATATATTAATAAATATTTTCTAGTTAAAAATGTATAAAATGTTTAACTTTTATAGCTAAAGATTGAAATTTATATCAATGTTTCACATAAATAGGTTATATTATATAAATTACTTATATCATAGACTAGACAGTATTCGCCGAGAATCGTTTTTCTTATACAAAGATGTTTTATCATTGAACTCAATTTAACACCATCCATTACAGTGACCCACTTGTAACATACTATATAGCAGAGCTAGGGCTATTAGATTATTTTTTGTACCACTCGATTATTAATTTCACGTTTTATCAATTATTTTGATTTATCGAATATTAATAATCAAACCGAAAATCGATTTCATAACGACTGATTAATCGATAACCGATTTTTTTAATGACTGAATAAATGATTAATCAATTTTTTTTTAATGACTGAGAAACCGATTAATCGATTTTTTTACTAAGATTAAATTCGTTCCTTAACTTCTACACAATTTTAAAACAGATTTGCAGTATGTCATTTAGTTGTAGATGTCCACTCTTATATTATCCTTAATACATTCCGAATCATTGAACTCAAAACATCATATTAGCACATATTGAAAATTTAAATATTTAATCTATATTATTAATAAAAAATCTTAGACTTAGAATATTTGGAAGTATAACAAATAAGTTGTGAATATACAAATGTTTCTATGTAATAATATTTAAAGTATATTATAATTATTATTCTTATTATATTATGTATTCATTGTTCCATTAAAAATTCAAAAAAAAATTACTTAGTACTTAAGAACATCAATTATGCTACAAATAGTTAATTATAATAAACCAGACTGTTTTTTTTTTCAGTCATCTTGGCTGTGACTTTTCTAATTAAAATATAAAATAGTAAATATTCAATTAAATGATCAAAATATATTAAATATAATATATTTAACAATGGTTAATCGACTTGTTTATTCGAAAAATTCGATTATTTGATTAATCGGAAATTTTATTATTTAATTTATCGGAAATTCGATTAATTGATTAATCGAATTTCCATTATTTGGGGATTAATGGAATTTTATAAAAACTGAAATACCTAATCGATGAAAAAAAATAATCGTCTTAATAATCGAACATCCCTAAGCAGAGCGACACCCAATTGCCCACCTTTTTTTATTTCTATTTTACTTTTTTTTATTATAAAATAAATTGAGGTTAAAATGTTTGTTATGATATATTATTTTTAAAATTCATAACTCTGACACCCATTACCACAAATCGTATATTTAGTAATAGTAATAATAATATTTTATTTATTTGTTTAAGTAGATTTTAGTCAATTTTAAAGTTATTTTTTTGGAGTATTTTTTGTAGAGAATTGTTATATTTTATTTTGGTCATCCACGTCTTATATCCACTTATAAGATATTCATTTTTTTTCAATGGGTATCTTGATTCTTGACACTGATTTGATTTATGACTGTTTTAGATGTTATATTACTGAAAGATTCATCACGATTACAGGACCATCACTCAGAGATCTCTTCACCAAAGAGAATGATGTGGAATTTAAACAAGAGCTAGTGGGTGAAAATTATGAAGAAAGCCTCACTGAACAACAAATTTGTCAAATTATGGGTTCAATACAACTGGGAATAAAACATGAATTTAAATTCATAACTTCAATACCCAAATTCAATTCATTTCCTGGTGATTTTAAGGACATTTCAACGATCATGTTTCGTAATTGGCATGATACCAATAACAATATACCATTTCCAGATTTTTCTTTTTCTACATATGCTCCATTAACATTCCATTATTTCAGAGGCTTATTTGGTATTGAAGCAAAAGACTATTTAACCTCTTTTTGTAGCTCGCCTCTTCATGAACTGTCCAACCCGGGTGCTAGTAAATCAAAATTTTACCTCACACCAGATGATAAATTTATCATGAAAACTGTACAGGAAACCGAAGATGAATGTTTACTCAAGTTACTATCTAGCTACAGCACTTGTTTTAGCGGCAATCTGAAATCTCTGTTGCCAAAATTTTCCGGGTTTTATGGTTTTAAATCAAAATCAATAGACATTAAATTAGTATCTATGAACAATTTACTACCTTCTAACATAAAAATGCACCAACAATTTGATCTGAAAGGTTCGACTCTCGGTAGAGAAGCTTCCGATCGTGAAAAAAATAAAACATCGCCTACATTTAAAGATTTAGATTTTATATGCGAACTTCATCCTAAGGGCATATTTTTGAAGCCAGAAATTCGTTTAGCTCTTCTGGAAACAATAAAAAGAGATTGTAAGACACTAAAATATTTTAAAATAATGGATTACAGTCTTTTAATGGGCGTTCATAACATCGACCATCCTTTGAAAACAGATGACGATACTTCACCAAACACTTACGCTTCAATGCTGGCAGCTAAAGCCTGGTGGGAGAGTTTGATGGATGATTCAGTAGAGGAGAAAAGTATTCAAGCAGACACTGAAACTTTTTCAGATGAAAATTATGCTTCGTTAAAACATTGCATACCTGCTAAAAGTGTCAATATTATTGACATACTACAAACTTATGGAAGAACGAAAAGCCTAGAGCGTAGTTTTAAATCATTGATATTGAAGCTTACACCTAGTGCGACAGAAAATGCCTACTCTATTTCTGTACAACCTCCCGAATTCTATTCTTCTAGATTTCTTCAATCTATGACCGAGTATGTAAAATGAATAATTGTTTATTTATTCATTTATTTATACATTTTTTTTTTTAATTTTAGCTCTGTGTTCAAGCCAATGTTATCTCCTCAAGAACTTGATGAACTATCCAAACAACCAATCGATATACTATTGTTGAGTAAACGAGGGTGTACTAAAATCGCTGCAGAAAAATGCAGTATCTTAATATGATCATACTGTGCAGTATTGTACTAATAATCGTAGGTCTGAAATTTACAATCACTCGTCGGAGAGGAATATCAGTTTATTTTTTTTTATTTTGGATGAAAGTAAACCAACAAAGTTTATTTTTGCAGAAAAAAAATAATTTTATGACTTAAAAAGTTAAGAAATATTATTACAAAACTAATTAAAATCTTACATTTCCATGCTTTAAAATTCTTTCTATCTCAATGTTATGCTTAATTATTTTTATTTGGTGAGGCAATAAGAAGGTATACCTTTCCATAAGTTATGTTGTGGTTTTTTATTTATTATTTTCTTTAAACATTTTGAATTTACCGCCTTGAAATTTTTTACACGAACTCAATCAATTATTTTTTTAGTTCATCAACTTAATCAACTTGAATTAATTAAAATATGGTTAAAAAAAAAAAAAATTAAATCACGTAAGCACATAGTAAAATGTTTGTAAATTGTAATACCTTTAGTATTATATATCAGACAATTAAAATCTGTTACTATTATATTATTACAAAACCTGTATCAGTTGCATTTTTTTCCTGATTCAACAAGTTCGTTTGTTTTTTTTATAATCAACCTTATTTAAAACTTAATACAAGGGTTTCCATAAGTTGTTGTAAGTGGAAATTAAAGAAAAAGTTGAGCTTAAATCCACAATATTTTTTTATGAGTTCTATCTTATTTTAAGTTAGTGTTTTGACAAAATTCGTCAAAATCATTACAATTTTCAAATTATTTTGTAACAGAAATTTGAATTATAGAAATAAACTAATACCTATTCTATTATATTTAATATTTATAAATCAAACAGGGATAAAGTATTTCACAAATATAAGTTACTGTTTACATAGGTTTGCGTTGTTCATAGTTATAATACTTATACGATTTATACTTATATAGACTACACAATTTAAAAACAATGGTAATGTTAAGTTCAACGCACAAATGTTATTTGCAATATTTTTATGTTACATATTATACGTTTGTTTTTTTTAATCATTAATTATGGTTAATGATATATGTTATGTTTAATGCTATTAGATTACCTATTTTCGTTTTTCGTTTATTGCTTTCTTAAATTTGTTTTCATTATTTTCCGTTATAACATTATGAAGACCTAAATACGATTAATTTTAAAAATATTACATAACTCATTTAAAATATTATAGGTATTATTTAATTTCACTGTTATATTTGTCAAATTTAGATTTCACTACCTGTCCCGGTGTGCAATATGGTGACTTAACTACTAAGAGATGTTTTTTTTTTTTTTTTTTTTTTTTTTTTTTATCAAAGAAATACCCCTCGGCAACTTGGCCATTGGGATAAGATACATTTTTTTTTTTAAATAAATAAGTGTTACATAATAAATATAAAGGTTTAATAACTACAAATGTCTAGACTAGGTTGTATAAGCTTAATAAAATTGATGGTTGTGTATTCAGCTGGTTAAATAAGTTTGTCCAATCCGGTCTCCTGGAGGAACACGAATATGTCCGGCGATGGCAAGACTAGTCCAAGTGTGTCATATAAATCGCTGGATAGATTATTACGGTTCCTTGCGTCGAGGTATGCAAAGCATTCCGTGATAATGTGTTTAATTGTTAGTTCAACCCTGCATGTCATACACGAGGGAGGCTCATCACGGGATATTAGGTATCCGTGAGTTATTCTGGTGTGGCCTATCCTTAGCCTGTTGATGATGGTTTCCTTTTTCCTGTCGGGATGATTGTTGGGTCAGTGGAGAACAGTTGACTTAATTTCGTTAAGTTTCGTTTTTTGTTTTACCCATATATTTTGCCAAGCTTGTATTGATAGATGTTTTATTGTTCTTATGGTATCATGAGAAGTAGTAAGAGGAGTGATGTCTAAGGAAGTTGAGGAGGCTGTGTGCTTGGCTTGCTTATCTGCTTTTTCATTGCCTTCAACTGACGAATGACCTGGTATCCACATTATTTTGACCACATTCCCTTTAGAGAGATGGGAGTAAATGAGAAGGTGGATTTTCTTTGCAATGTCGTTACGCTTATGTGTGTTTGCTATGCTAGAAATTGTACTTAAGGAATCACTTAAAATAATAAAATGTTGATATTGTTTTTCAAGTGCGTATTCAAAGGCTATTAGAATAGCGATTGGTTCAGCTGAGTATATGGAGCATTCTGATGGAAGTTTATATGTTATTACCACATTTGTGTGTATAATGGCGATTCCCACGTTGTTTTCCGATTTTGAC